TTTGTTTAGTTAATTTTCATACTGTAATGCCCCAGAAATGCAGAGTTAACTAGACACAATGCAACATCAGATCGCCCCCCATCGCCCCGGAGTTCAACGACTCCGCACGAATCGAATCGAAGAGCGTGGAGCAAAGAGGGAAGAAATAAGAGGTAAATACCAAAGATTGTCGATGGTTAAACGTCGCGCAAGTGGAACAAATTAATGCAGCAGACAGTCAAGCAAATACTCAACCAAAACCAAAAGAAAACGGAAACCTGAAAACTGAAATTGCGGGAAAATTACCAAAATAACAATTGAAAAGCGATGTAATTAACGCTCGGCAATTTGCTACAACAGTTCCGGGAAGGGATCTCTCGTATACAGTTACAGGAGAGAAGGGAAAGTAATTTAAATGCAAATTTCACTTTGTTCTTAGGGATAGAATACCCGAAACACTCGGCCCGAATGGTCTTTGTTTCGTTCGCTCGTGTGAAATTTGTATAACAAATCTCTATTCAAGTCATTTGTATCGAATTTATCACTTCCTGTCCGTCAATCAAATGTTAGATGACTCGAAAGCCAAGCTCTCGCTTTCGTTTGATTAATGATTTTTGTCGTATAGAATTTAAGTTTAACCCAAAATAGATTTTCTGATGATGGAAGAATAGTGTTCAACTTTCTTTGTCTTGGAGTACAGCAAATATGCTTTCTTTTTTACCCAATAAGCATACACTCTCCCATTACATGAGTACACAGAACGTTGACAACGAAATATACTCCTCGTAGTCGTCCAGTCATTTTTTTTGTGCTGGGACAAAAGATAAGATTAAATATCAAATGGGAAAAATGATAACACACTGCCCGAATACACAGCGACAGACAAAAGAGAGAACAGAGTCGGTTTTCGGTACTAAAGACCAAAGCCCCCAAAGCGTTGACCCAAAATAAACAGAATGAAAGGCAACCATATTTTCCCATATTCTTTTCCCCCCGAAATGGGTTAGTGCATACAGATGTCCGACAAGTGCATTGTAATGACTTGCAGCCGTTAAAACATATGGAAAATCTGTGAACATGTGCTTGAGGAAATGAGTTATGATGCTCCCCTTCACGCAAATCCATCAACGTCTGGTTTGGGCGAATGGCAATGGTAATGGGACTGTGGACTCGAAGTGCGACTGGGACTAGAGTTTTACTAATTTCAGCCTTTGGAGGATGTTTGTTGATAAAGTTAGCATACCCATTTCAGGGTCAGGGACTACCAGCGTGAGATACTGTTGATTGGCTGACAATTCTCTTAAAAGCAAAAGAAACGGTTCCCATATTATCTATATTTCAAGAGACTAATTCAGTATTTCATGGTTTAGGTTTTGCTTATCAAAATTGAACCTAAAAGCAAACTTTAAGGTAATAGACCCTTCTGCGATGACGCAATGCTTTAGTTTGAATCACCGTTGCAGTTCGTGACATAAGTCTTATCATGATATGTTTATGGAAACAGGAAACTGAAACGTTAGCCCACCCATTTAATGGACATTTTGTGAAGCACGTGTTGCATTTGCATTTGCATTTGCATTTGGGGAAAGATCAAACAGAAGAAGCACGCATAAAGAAACAATCAGGGAAACCGAGTTGGTGTAAAATACATCTTAAATTATGCTAATCGTCAATCAAAACAAAAGCTGCAATTAAACCACACACACTCCGGGTCTCCGACTCCGACTTCCACCACTCTGACTTTCACCCAACGAGCGGCAACAATGGACAGTCGTATGTTTCAGTGTTTCACTTTTGGCATTATATGCAAATAGCAGTTTCGAGAATTTCATTTCAGATCTCGCTGGGTTCGTAGTGTGTGGAGTGGCCTCCTCTTCAAAGTGGGCCTACACATTTCGCGAAGGGATTTCGTCGACCAACTCTTTTGTTCCAGGGGCTGCCTGTTCAAACTTCGAAGGGAGCAGCTGTCCACGGTGACACAATGGACAACGGGAGCGGAGGGCTGATCAGAGGATCGTGATCTGAGGTTCCTGTCAGCTGTGTGGTGCGTTGTGGCGCGTGTTGAGTCTTGTTTCGGCAACGAGGGCGGGTGGTCGGAACAGTGGGGAGGGGTTTGGTAGGGGTTTGAGTGACAGCAACAATAGCGACAACAACAAAGCAAATGCAACCTTTGCGCTGGTATATAGAGAGGGAACGATACACAGAACACGGGCAAAAGTCGATCCATGAATAGCCTGTAAAAGAGTCAACAGAGTGGAGTAAATTCGACTGGGGAGTCGAGTCAGAGCGATCTTAATTACATGAGACAATGCCTATTTATTTGTATTTTCCTTATTATTATTTTCTTGACCCTCGATTAGAGTGTCTGTCCAATGTCCATGACTTCCCTTTACTATAACATACTCTTTCACGAGCGAAAGGGCATACTCGAACCCGTTTAATTGGCTTTAAAATGCCCAGAATCGGATGGGCACGTTTCGACTAAGAGCCGAGTGGACATGGAAACGCATGCGCCGCAGCCTAAAGGAGCGACGACGACGCCATGACGACTTTTTGATGATTTCCAAGGAACATAAATAAAAGAAATGTGTCTGGAATGGAATGGTTAGTGCTGGGGGAGAATGACACTTGTGTCGTCTCCTCCGCTCCGCTGGAAGAAAACGTTTGCTCATTTCCGCACTCAATTAAAATGGTCGGGACACAAATCTATCTTGGGGTTTGCTTCTGAAGGCAAACAAACGTTGACATGCCCTCGGCACTTTCTATAAATAGAACCTATGCTCTCTGTGCCTGTGTGGGGTGCGGGACAGCTGAGGGAAATGGTGGTGGTTTGCTTTGAGGGGGTGCAGTTGCGACTGCGCGCCCCTCTTCACTCATGCAATTGGATTCATGGTCACGTCCACGGTCCCCGTGCGACTTCCGTCTTTGCTTATCGATTCCCTGGTTGCACCTACGTTATAGTCAACCCATTGCATGGGCAGCAAATCCGCGATAAATGCAAGTCAACAGAAACGTCGATGATGGCAAACAAGAAGAGAGACACAGGTGTTGCCTATACCTGCTTGGGGTACTTACATTTGATTTCTTCCTGGGGATGAAACGGGTATCAAAGAATCTTAGTCGGGTCCGACGCCGCACGCACACATTGAGAGCCGCCGAGCGGGAGGAGGAGCAACAAATTGCGTTGATTTCTGCTCTTAACTTAGGCCAGGCCCGTGGAGTCCAAAAAACAAATAAAGCACAGTTTTAAAATTTTAATTTCCAAAAGGTTGTTAGCCGAAAATTATTTTTTATTCAAAACTTTGAAGTGTTTTAACCGAAACGGTTGTTTACTTTTGTTTGTTAATTATTTTGGATTCGACGACTACAGTCCGCCGCCCGTCCGATCATGAACGGCCCGCGAAAATTTAGCAAGAAAATAAACAACGTCGAGACATGAATGGCGCTATTATAACTATAGCGATATTATCAACGAAATTGTATGAATGAGTTTAAAAATGTTTCTCTGGTGTTTCCATTTCGACAAAATTCGTTGTTTACGTTCGCGGCTGCGGTTTCAATGTGGCAGCCAGTGCGACCGCAAGATTATCGATCAAATATACCGTTAGACCCTTTAAAATATACCAAAATATACCTTCACATCTTAAAAATATACCGTAAATGTACCGTAGCCGTAAATCATATTCCACGATTTTGATGTTATATTTACAATAAGTTGGCTAGTTTGGAGTCTCGCGCTTAAACTACAATTTTATTCGATTCATCAATCAATTCTCCAAAAGATTGGCTAGTTTTCATGACTTCCTTTTGTTTTACCTGTACAACAGGTAAATACGTCACCAAAAATTGCAGGTGCGCCAGCTAAATTACATTCCATATTTCCTATGCGATGGAAATTCTACAGGGAAGTTCTCTCCTGTGTCTAAACGGTCAGGGAAATCCTCTCCTGTATTGAAACGGTCAGGGAAATTCTCTCTTGGCAGATCCTTTAAACAGGTGCGAAAATGTTGGAGCTTGGAAAAGTTCGTCCTTTCCTACCTACTAGATATACCTTGCGGTCACATGCCAAGAGAAATCCCATAGAAATATACCAAAAATAATATACGTTCTCACTTACATATACAAGCACTATTCCTCGACTTTGATAGCATAATTTGATATTACTAGCTAATTAGGAGTCTCAGCGATAAAACAATAATTTTACCAGATGTATCAGTCAATTCTCCACAAGATTTTCTGGCTTTCACGAATTCCTTTTCTTGGAATGCTGACAAATTAATTGGTGAGATAAATTAAAGGGTCGACAACAGGTGAACACGTCACAACAAATTTCAGGTGTGCAATCCTCCATTATGTATTTTATTAAAATTATTATAAAATTATTTTATTTTATTAATTTTATTCTCGTAATTTCCTATCCTTTTAAGTTTCAAATATTAGGTCGATATAAGAAAAATATCGATAAATTTTGCTAAATCTGATGCTACCCATGAAGTAATTATATAAGGAGGTGGTAACGGGTCGACGTTCGGGTTTGCTTGGCCTATAATTCATGTTGTTCATGCGAAAAGTTCTGTGCGGACGAATTTTTTCGATTTTTTGTAACCCTATTAACCGCCTATATTAAGCATATGCGCGCTAAAAATGACTTTTCTATTTTTGCCAATAAAATATTTTTTTTTTTTAATTATGACCCTAAGCAAAACCAAATCTACTAAAAGGACAAATACCGACTACTTTCAAGTGGTAGCTTATTAAACAATTAAATTTTGAAAAATAACTCATTTTCTCGTAATGGTCAACTTAACCTCCATGCCATCATAGGGTTAATCCATCTCACGATAGTTTCGCTTCACTCACACAGCGCATAGCCCTTTCACTCGCACTTGCAAACAGCATAGATAGTAGAGAAATTTTGCCGACGGCACCTCCTTATATAATTACTTCATGATGCTACCGAAGACCTGAAGCAACTATAAGGAGGTCTCGTCGGCGGCAGCGTTCCTTGTCTTAGAGGATAGACAAAATCATTTTACTTAGATATTTTGGGGCAAGCTTCTTCAAGTTTGAAGGAAGGGTAAGCTAAGGTAGGGTGTACAGAAATTGGCAAGAATAACAGTTTTCACAGCTGATTCACATAATTTACATTAAATAACATTGGCTACAGTCATGGCTAAGAAAATTTGGAATCGCAAGCCAAAAATGCATTTGCAATTGCATGTAAAAAATGAGAAGATTCCCACTCATTTTGTTCGTATTTTCTATTTCTATAAAGGAGAGATGTGAAGCAAACAAGGACTATGCATATTCCATAGCCCAAAAGGTTGCTTTGCTGGACTTGAAGAAATATCTCGTGGAAGATCTGAGCGTGTATGCTAGGGAGCTGCAACAAAATCTTTACGCAGTCGAATTGTGAGTGAAAAATGGACTATGCTAAATTGGTTTCGACTAAGCATGCAGTTTTTCAGCGGTGTAACACAGATTGAGAAAATAGTGCATCAGCTGGAGGAGCAGCACAAGGGGGGAGAATTCAACGCCATCAGGCACTTTACCCTTCTGCGACATCTGCACTCGGACTGGCCGCAGTGGCTGCGATTTATGCGCCAAACGGTGGCCTCAGGTTGGAATGGGATGGATTACGATTCGCAAAGTGCTATAATGATTCTCGCCTGTTGATATTTCAGCGTGGCAGATACACGCGCAGGAACTACGACCGTATTTACCCACTAAAGACGACTTTGATGAGGCCTGCAAAGTTATATATATTCTGATCGATGTGTATGGGTTGTCTGTCGAAGACTTTTCCCGTGGCCTGATCAATGGAAAGCAATACACGTGAATACACATAAGCCACCTCCTCCTCGAATCGGTTTCGACTAATTCATTTTGCATTTCAGATCGAAAAGCTTTGACTTAATGGACTGCTCTTCCCTGGCCCGACATGGCTTTGAGCAGCGATACTTCGACCTGGCAGAAGCTTGGTTTGAGGCCATCCGAGCGGATCATGATGAGCTCCATCGGGTGATGGGCTACGATTGGGCTCATGTGCTGCAACTCTATGCCAGAAACCTTTATAACTTGGGTAAGGATTCGGCATCGATCTGTTATCCAGCCACTGACGACGTCTTTGCAGGCAAGAAGGAGCTCGCGTTGGAAGTGCTGCAGAAGGCTTCGAGCCTGGGAACCGATAACCAGACAATCCTTCGCCAGTTGAAGGTTATGGAGAGAGGCGAGATAGTGCCCATGGAATTAGTAAAGGAAGGACAAATTTTTAGCTATGCCCAGGGCTGCCGCGGACTATTCGATCCGCCCAAAGGTCTCAGCTGCCATTACGATTTCCACACCCACCCCCTGCTGCGGCTGGCCCCCTTGAAAGTGGAGCCTCTCCACCGGGAGCCGTACATAGCCATGTATCACGATGTGATCTACGAAAGCGAGATTGAGGAACTCAAGCGCGATGCTATGCCGGAATTGAAGCGCAGCACAGTCCACGATTTGTCCAAAGAGGAAGTCCTCGACCATGGTCGCACCTCAATGAGCGCCTTCCAAGACTATGACCAAAGCAAGGCAGTGATCGCGGTCAATCGGCGTGTGAAGTATATGACCGGCTTCGAAGTGCTTCCATTTGGATCTTCGGATGATTTGCTGGTTCTCAACTACGTTCCTGGCGCACAGTACCTCCCACATCGGGACTTCTTTGGACCCACAGTGAGCATTTATTTATTATATGATTGGAGATTGTGTAAGCTGAAATATTGGATGATTTGCAGTATGAACATTACATTGAACGTGGCGACAGGATAGCCACAGCTCTCTTTTATGTGAGTATATTGCCATACAAAGAATTGAACATCTGAAAAGAAAGCCCCGAATGTCCTGCAGTTGAACGATGTCGAGCAGGGTGGCAACACGGTCTTCCCTGATCTGGGGATTTCCTGCACGCCCAGAAAGGGTAGTGCTGTGGTCTTTCACAATATGAACAGCACTTACCAAGGCGAAATGAGATCCAAGCATGGTGGCTGCCCGGTGCTGGTGGGCTCCAAATGGGGTGAGTTCCACCCTTAAACCCAGTGAATAAATAATTATTGACTTTAGTGGTTTTTACTTTTCCTCACAGCTGCCACAAAATGGATCTACGGGGCCGAGCAAATGTTCCAATGGCCTTGTGTGAAGCCGAAGTAGGTCTAATGTAGGTATGGAGCGCAGTCATAGGGTATCCAACATGTTGCAACCCAAAGCTAGCTTTTCCTTACTGATTTCTGATCACAAATAAAAGAAGAAAGGAAAGGTTCAACACTCTATCGTACGATTTTCCTCTCCTTTGATTTGAGCATATCTTGGGAATGGGTTTGCGTTGTGCTAATTAATTGAGTCTAATTGAGAGAAGTTCTCTGGTGCTGGCACCATGAAATCGTACGACCGGCTTAATTGCCTCCACCAGCAGCAGCCCGCATCAATTGAGCGGGGAAACAGAGAAAACGAGAGAAAGACAGATAGAGAGAGAGAGAGAGACAAGACACTTACGATCGCCTGATTGATGAAAGTCCACTCTCAACACACACAAAAATCTATTCGAATTTCCATTACCTGGCTTATGTTTTCAGCTGCGGCTGTTTAAATTCCCATTTTCATTGAAATGTGGTGGCAGGGATCGGTAAGGTTTCGCATGTCCCTTAACTGTAATATTACACTACCAACAAACAACAAACACACACAACGTACCATTAGGGGCTGGCCAAGCCTCTGCCCTCTCCCTTGCTCCAAGCGTGAAACAATACAAGGCAACCGGCAAGAGGGTCAGAAGAGAGCAGAAAACAAAGTCGAGAGTTTGCGCAAAGCGGAGAGAGCGATTGAGAGTGTGCAGCCGGCAACATTCATCAAATTTTGTTAGTGTTTGTATACCCTAGAAAAGAGAGATCCATGCATTTGGTCAAGTGTTCGTTGCGCACAGAAGTGGGGTCTCAAAACCCATAAAGTTATATTCAAATTAATAAGCAAAATATATTCAAGAAATTTTGTAGTTTTCATTCAAAGTAAAATAAGTGAAAATGTATTGAAATTAGCAAAAACCTCCAAGGAAGGGTATGAACACCTTCGTTGCCCGGAACAACCATTAATTATGTTTCTTTTTTCTGTTGTTGTCAGCATAAACATATCTGAGGGCCAGAGAGCTCTGTGTACCTAGAACGGACTGGTGTTTGTTGGCCATGGCTCTCTGTATATATCGCCATATAGTCGGCCCATATGTCTCTCCGAAGTCTCTGCAGTTGCAGGCCCGGACTCGCAGTTCATTTGTGTTCCATTCGCCAAAGGTGACGCACCCGGTAGCGGCGTTTGTTTGAGGGAATATAGGAGTTAGATATTGCGCGACGGTTCAGTCTCTTGCTTCTACGCTATTCGGGTTTCTTTTGGTTTTGCGGTTCCGTTTCGGCTTCCTCTTCTGACGGCTGTTTCATGTCTTGTTTTAGGAACACGTGTTGGGTAAGCAATAATTGCTTTTAAAGAGAATTCTGCGCTATTCTGCCGGTTGTTGTCAACGCTCTCCAAAAGTCCGAGACGCCGACGGAGCAAAGTACACGTCACCGTCATAGCTACGTCGGATTGCTGAGCGCCAAAAAAAAAAACATCACGAGACAGAACCACAAAAAGCGAGCCCGAACCTAGCGGTCCCATCAGTGTGAATCATAGCCCCGAGAGCGGAAGACAACAGCTGCTACGTACCGTAAGGCGTCACAACGCATAGAATCCGAGAATCAGCTATTCCAACATGGGATACGACGAAGCTATCCTCAAGTTGGGCGACTTTGGGCGCTACCAGAAGATCATCTACTTCCTCATCTGCCTCACGTCCATACCGGTGGCCTTCCATAAGCTGGCCGGCGTCTTTCTTCTGGCCAGACCAAACTTCCGCTGCGTGCTGCCCTTCGAGGATGCATCGGGTAATGGATCCCAGTACGAGCTGCCGCAGCGACTGTGGGAAATCTCATATCCCCCTGCAGAAGCGTGTGAGTACTACGATGTGAATTACAGCGAGGAGTACCTAAACGGCAGCCTGCCGAGAACCACAAACAACACCCTGAGCTGCGACCAGTATGTGTACGACCAGAGCACGTACCTCAACAGCGCCGTGACCGAGTGGAATCTCGTCTGCGGACGTGGTTTACTGGCGTCCGCCAGTGACTCTCTCTTCATGTTCGGTGTGCTGCTGGGCAGCATAATCTTTGGCCAGTTGAGCGACAAGTACGGACGCAAGCCGATCTTCTTTGCCTCGCTGGTTATCCAGGTGGTCTTTGGAGTCCTGGCCGGACTGGCGCCCGATTACTTCACCTACACCATGTCCCGGCTGGTTGTGGGTGCCACCACATCGGGCGTGTTCCTGGTGGCCTATGTGATTGCCATGGAGATGGTGGGTCCTGCCAAGCGCCTCTATGCAGGCATCTTTGTGATGGTATTCTTCTCCTTGGGCTACATGCTGACGGCGGCCTTTGTCTACTACGTTCACGACTGGCGCTGGCTGCAGATTTCCCTCTCGCTGCCAGGACTCATCTTTATGTGCTACTATTGGATCATTCCGGAATCTGCCCGCTGGCTGCTCTCGAAGGGCCGCAAGGAGTGCGCGATTGCCAATATGCAGAAGGCGGCGCGATTCAATCGTGTGGACATCACACCCGAGGTTCTCAGTGAGCTCTTGGACGATGGCGAGAGTTCAGCGGACAAGCAGGTGGAGCTGGATCCTGCGAAGGAGAAGGAGCCACTGCCGTCCGTGTGGGATCTGTTCTGCTATCCCAATCTGCGTCGCAAGACGCTGCTCATCTTTCTCGACTGGCTGGTGACCAGCAGCGTCTACTATGGCCTCTCGTGGAACACGAACACCCTTGGAGGCAATGTCCTGCTGAACTATGCCATCTCTGGCGCCGTCGAGATCCCAGCCTACATCTTCCTGTTGCTCACGCTCAACAGGTGGGGCAGGCGCTCCATCCTCTGCGGCAGCCTGGTGGTGGCAGGCATCAGCCTGTCGCTCACCGGCGTCATTCCCCAACACATGCATGTCCTCATTGTCACATGCGCAATGCTGGGCAAGCTGGCCATCACCGCCTCCTACGGCACTGTGTACATCTTCTCTGCAGAGCAATTTCCCACGGTGGTGCGGAACGTGGCGTTGGGCGCCGCCTCGATGGTTGCCCGGATTGGCGGAATGCTGACTCCCTTCCTCGCCCCACTGGCCGGCATCTGGCGACCCCTGCCGATGCTCATCTGCGGCGTACTCTCTCTGACAGCCGGATTGCTCTCCCTGCTGCTGCCCGAGACCCACAACAAGCCGATGCTGGAGACGATTGCCGACGGCGAGCGCTTCGGCAAGAAGACCAAGGGCGGGGAGTACTTGGAGACGGGCCGCGAGCTGCGAGAGACGCTGGAAGCGCAGCCACTCAATGGATCCCTGGAGAACGGCCACAAGGCCAATGGTCACGAGGTCTAGGAGTCAGAACTCGCACAAGAATAGAGCAAGTATTATATCATTTCAGAAATCTCATACGCAGACCAAAACAGAAAAAGAAAATAGAAAACAAAATTCGAATGAAAGGAAAGGACCAAATAGATAATTTTCTATGCTAGCATTTAACCAGGGAGCAGCGGCATAGGAAGGGAGTGTTTGGTTTCAATGGATTAAGGGATGGCTTAGCAGAATCCTATAGGACTCACCTCTTCCCATGTCCGCTGTGCAATTTATAACTTAAATATAAACATAAGTACATACATTTCCATGTATCATATGAATTGAAATAAAACTGTTGCACGTTTTCCTATAGCAATATCAACCTACTTGTCATTCCATCGTATTTCTTGAACATTTTCGACCTCAGTAAACCCGGACGGGCCGAACAACTCGATTCGGTTGGCTACTTAAATTATGGTATGACACGTGTTTCCGCTGTGTTTATTTTCGAAACAGGTTTTCTTATCAGCGGACACGAGACACTGATATTTAAAGAAAAACATAGACCCGAATAGAATATTTAATCACGAGAGTGCCGTGCCCGACTACAGAGAAATGCCACGGCTCTGACCCTGACAATAGACAATAGAAACTACACAATTTTACTTCTCTCTAAGTGCTTTGCACTTGATCTAATTACAAGATGACGCTCTATAAGGGGTTTATGGGTCGTTCCGTCTATTTATGGCCGGTCTGTCACAGTGCAAAATTGCAGTTCGACGGCTGTAACTCTCTCCCATCCACACCCAAAGTCAAACGGAAATCGAAGAGAAGGCAAACGAAAGAGTACAACTAAGAGAACTAACAAGAGCATTTAAAACTAGAGATAAAAAACATATAAATACAATATAAGATATATAATACATATACATGTGAATGAGCAGAAGAATACTCGCATAAATTGTTGTGTTTGCCAACAGAATGTTTGGAATTTTGAATCAGGCCATTTTCATGTTGTCTGTCTCTCTGTCTTTTTTGGAACTCCTTTAATTGCTCAGCAAACATCGTACGATACTGGGAATGCAGCTGCCTCTTTCCTCGTTGCATTACCACCAACCCCCTCTGCTGAAATCTCAGTTGAATTTTCAATTTCTTTGCCGTTGATCGTTGATCAATCGAATTTCTCACAGGGTTGCTGATTGCTGAGCAAGCGAGAGTCGCCAGCCGCGACACTCTTACGCACTCTCTCACAGACCCGTGTACTGATAGTCGTAGAGTAGATATTTTGGGTGCTTTAGAACCTTTAGCAGCTCTTTGTGTTTAGTCTCTGACTGAAGCAGCTGGCGAGCGGTTGATCGAGCGCTTTCCACATCACAAAATCAACAAGTCAGCATCGGTTGACATCGGTTTCAGAGTGTGTTGTGTACGGGGAGGCTGTAGGTGCTGTAACTGCAGCCAGAGCTTGGCCTCATTTGTGTGTCAAGTATACAGCTAGATTGTTGCACAATCAAAACGGGTTCAAGCGGGCGCACTTGCCGTATACGCAACGCAAAGCTAGCTGAAAGTTGCGCATACGTCACGGCGTCGCATTGGATGGTGCGACCATTGATCCGCGGCACAAATCGTACGACACTCAAGCACTTCATAGGCACTAACGTGGCCCAGAGCCAATCAGCAGCATGGGATACGACGACGTCATCACCCACCTGGGCGAATTCGGTCGCTACCAGAAGCGAATCTACTATCTGCTCTGTCTGCCGGCCATTGTCTGTGCCTTCCACAAGCTCGCCGGAGTCTTCCTCTTGGCCACGCCCGACACACGCTGCCAGCTGCCACACGAGGATGCGGCCACAGTGCAGTTCGCCTCGCTG